TTACGATATAGTCATAATTATGACAAATAATGTCCCCATTGCAAAAAATACTGTTGCAGCTGCAAGAAATAAAGTTGCAATTGCAAGATATAAAGTTGCAAATGTGAGATATTAAACCGCATTTATGAGAAATAAGAAAATAATTAATAAGAGAAAAAAATAATCACTATTAAAAGACAAAAATGTATTTAAAAAATACAGTACAGACACAATTTTGAGATGAAAAGAATGTAATATAGAAAGACAATTATAAGAAAGCTGGAACTGTACAATATAATTGCACAACATAAAGCATAATTATTAATTAGATTATTATGAGTGATAATTAGATTTTTTTTTTAAATCACATTTTATTGTGAGAAATAGAATCTAATATGTGAGAAGTCAGAAATAACTTTCATGCAAAGTTCAAAGCTTTTCTGCAACTAAATAATATAATATCCAAAAGAAAAATTATGTAAAACGTAACTATATAATCAGTTCTCTTTAACCATCTACACAGTTTATTCTAAATAAAAAAGGAAACATATTTCCCTTTCAAAGTGCTTGAATGACCAAAGGACTGCCGAACTATCAATCAGGTGCTGGAATAAGTCAATAACACCAGCTTAATGAGGAAGCTGCTGAGATAAAAGACAACACTATGAGAAGAACCATGAACTAGCTAATCATTCACTCCTTTCATCAATTATCATTTTAAAAGGTGCTTCAGGCTTTGAGATCAATATTCTCTTCAAGGCATGTAAGCAGTGTATTAAGAGAAGACTTTGAGGGAGGATCTGCACCAATGTGCATAATGTCTTCCAGTTATAATCAATAATTGCTGAAACTGCATAAGTGGAAGCCCCAGGAATAAGCTTCATGTTTGTGAACATACAGACATGAAGTATAGATATGTACATACAAAACTGGAGTTGGGAGTTTTCACAGGTCACACTCCCAGGAATCTGTTTCCCCACACAGCACAACTCTCAATTAGAAGAAGTCTAAAGTTGGCCAGAGGCAGTTTGACTGCTTTGCAATAAGACATCTGGTGCATTTTTCTAGTTGCACTCTCATTCCCTGAGGACTTCCGATTAGGTACCGAGGCTGAGATACGAGCAGTTTTGGGAGAGAGAAGTGAGAAGAGCACATTGGGACGTGGCCCACTGGTGTTTGGACCACTGAGAGTTAGATCATCAAACACTGAGTAGGATAGTTAGCAATCACTGAGCCAGAAGATGCTATTTTTGCAATCACGTGTATAAAATACAAACATTTCAGCTATGTTGTCTGACTCATATGTAGGCCTTTTGCTTTTCAGTATATTGATGTCTTAAAGGGACAGCTCACCCAAAAATGAAGACTGTGCTGGTTGCTCTTTTCTATGCAATAGCAATGAATGGGGACAAAAGGACCATACAATTATCATAAAATATTCTTGGTCTTCTGAAGTCGTAAGACAGATTAGAGTTGAACTTGGGAAAACCGAATCAGTCAGATTCATAAATTAATCAATTCAGAATCAAATGTGACAGACCAAGATTTAAGTGATTATTCAGTTAGACGGTGAGTTGAACTTGAGAAATGATCAGTTTGATTTGTGAATGAATCATTCAGACAAGTTTTGTAAACCAAGAGACAAACAGACCGAGATTCTCTTAGTGAGTTGAACTGCATCAGTTTAATTTGTGAATTAATCATTCAGACCGGTAAGTGATCCAAGTAAAATAAACACACACAAATGTAAGTTATTATCCACTAAGTGAGTTGAACTTGAGAACTGAATGAGTCCAATTAGCGAATGATTCATTCAGACTGGTTTTGTGAATCAGATGTGACAAACAGACTCAGATTCTTAAAGCGTGATAATTAAATCTGTTAAACTTGAGAACTGTAGGCTATAAATTGTATTTGTGAATGAATTGTTCACATTGGTTTAGTGAATCAAATGTTAAAAACACTGAAATTTCAGCCATTATTCTCTCTGCACAATATACTTAAGAACTGAACCGGTCTAATTCGTAAAGGAATCATTCAGACCAGTTTTGTGAATCAGAACAGATGCAAACAGACAGTGATGTAAGTGATTCAGTTAGTGAGTTGAATCAGTTTGATTTGCGAATGAAGGGTGAACGTGATTTCACCAAGAACAACATGTTCCTGGATCAAAATCCTTGTTGATCCTGGAACAACATTCCTATCAACCAATCATAACTGAGGGATAACTTTTCAAGAAATATCTGTTTTAGGCTTACGGTCAGGGTTAGGTGCTTCTACACCCTTGTTAATCAGCTATCATTTCACACTGATTTTAGGAATAAATTATGGGTAGTGATTGGGTTAAGTCTATATTTTTGGACAGTTATGTTGATCCAGGAACATGTCTTACTTATCAAAATCACAGTGACAGCGAATGAAGACCATTCAGACCAGTTTTGTGAACCAGGTATAACAAACAGAATTAACTTAGTCATAATTCACTCAGTCAGTGAACTGAATGAGTCCAAATGTGTCATTGTTTTTTTGCATTTGTGAACATCAACCAATTCAATGAAAAGATTAGACTCAAAAGAATGATTCATTCACAAATTAAACATCACTACTTCTCTCATCTATGTGGCTGCCAGCATTTATGATTTACTTTTTGGGTTTAGAACAACATGAGGGTGAATACATACAATAAAATATTCCCTTTTGGGTGAACTAATCCTTGAAATCTTGCTATATTTTTTGTTGCATATACCCAGCACATCCTGAATGGTCTCGGTAAATGTGTCCTTATGTTTTATGTGTGTGTGCAGAAGCATGGAACGTGTTTTCTGGCTTTCTTTTTTTTATTGCAGACACTGTCACATCTTTCCGTCAGCCAAAGGAGGTGAGAAGGAGACAATAGCAGGACAAAAGACAGGAGAGCAGACACAGCGCAGCTTTTAAACAGGAACTTTAAGATCTCTTCCTGACAACATGAACTGACACAAAGTGGTCCCTTTCCTATTGGTCGACTCTACACAGGGACTGCAGGCTGACTCCACTGACAGAATATGTGATCCGTGAGCTCAGAACAGGTATCAGATGTTCCCACTCCTGCGTTTGACAGCTAAGAGCTTAATTTTGAGATACAAGGACAGCAATGGGTCAAAACAGATGGAGGCTTAGAGGAAAGAAAAAAAAATAATAAAAAAACAACAACTTCAACTTAAAGTTTCCAGCAACAACTATTCTCTCGGAGGAAAAAACTGAGCTCTGAAGCAGAGCGTGAAGGATTCGTTGAGATGCTTTGCTTGAGAGGAACAGAGGCACAAGAGAAAGGTGAAGGAAACACAAATGGTAAAGAAAGAGGCTCTCAGCAAAAGGAGAATAAAATATTAAATGGCGAAAAGCGAGAATGACGCCAAAATGGTAGCAGTGCTCCCTCAGAGTAGAGTTTGTCTTGTGTTGCTGTTTGTAGAAGCGTGATCAAATAGGAGTTATTATAAAACAAAAACTATTTATGAGAAGCATTTTCATAAAAAATAAATGAAAAACTAAAATTACACTAAACTACAAACAAGTTAAAACGAAGTAAAATAATGAATTACAACAATCAGAAATAATCTAAAACTAACTAAAACTAAACTAAAAAGTAATTGAAAAACTGAAGTAAAATAATAATAATACAAAAAGTAAATGTTTTCCTAATCATAACGTCAATCACATGGCCTGACCTGAAATATGTCTAGTAAAATAAATACATAAATAAATTTACCTGTAACTAGGAAAATAACCACTACATTACTTAGGAGGAGGCTATTAGCAACAATTTTAAAATTTTTGGTGTAATACCACAAAATCAACTGTATAATATAATTCAGCTACTAACTGGCATCACCCTTCTGGTTAGATTACATATTTCACATTCAATCATTGATATTTTTTTCATATAATATTTTGTTTTTTTGTCATTCCCTCTTGCTACACATTGTCTTTTCTTCTCTCTGTCTGACAGTTATTCAAGTAGCACTGAAGCAGAAAGCTTTGAACATCATACATCAAAGTTTCCTCATGCACGTTTCATGCCTAATGCACGTATGTGACCAACCATCTGGACATTAATATGGGAAAGACATGAACATTGAGAGTGAAATTCACTAAAAAAGGAATTGTGTTCACTGATAGCATTGTCCATGTGCCATCCAATAATGAGCCTCTTTCAGGTGTTAGCGATGTAAAAAATGAAAATGACATCTAGGGATGCATTGGCCATTGGGCAATGTTTGAGTTTTTTTTTTTTTTTAAAGAAAAGAATACTTTGATTTAACCCGGATGCAAAGGTGTTAAAAAGATGTATTTAAAGAATCCAGAAAAAAAAATCATGCTTATACAAAGTAGCACCTGTTTTCAATATTGTTAATACTAATTCCCTTGTGACCTTTATTGACCAGCAACGTTAACTTAGAATTATGAATAGCTTGCCTATGACTGAGGACTTTCTTCCATATGTAAACAAAGCTTGGATGAAATTTGTCAACTTTTTGCTAATCAATCGATCTCCATCACACTTTCCCACCAGGGCATCAGTTTAATTTTCAGACAATGGTGAAGCTTGACAGTCGGGACAACGCAAACTGCAGGATGTGTTCCTGTTACTTCAAGATTAGAGGGAATTTAGCCTCATCTTGAGCCCTGCTTCTATAACAGACTCCAAATCGGCTTTTAATGGAGTAAAACTTAACAGAACATCAGTCCAACTCTCTCGTCCTCTCTCGACGTCTCTAAAAGAACAATACTACTTGTAAACAATCCAGACAAGCACACAATTGGCAACACACATCATTACGGCTTAATAAATCACTTAATGCAAACCCCGCAGATTCCTTGCCCTGTAAACGCGAAGAGCATTTCAAGCATTAGCGGCCTAAAATTAAAGCCTGTTTCCTTGGAAACAATAAACCGCTTGTACTTTGCTTCATAGATCTGTCCATTAAGAAGGGTCTGTGCCTGGATGTAAGAGAGAGAGGTCTCTGCATGGTGACACTTACTGAAATCCCCAGTCAGGAAGATGACCTCCGCTCCCGGTGCCCATTCCCTAAGGACCAGACCGTTGTCGGATCGCCGCTGAATACCGAAGGACCGGTAACTCAATGTGAAGTAATCAAAGGCCCCTTCTGCCTCCTCCAACTGTGCCAGACGCTCAGCAAACCGCTTGTATCTGAAGTCACAACAGAGATAGAGAGCGGGACAGAAATATACAAAGAGAAAATACAAATTAAAGATATTACGGTCCCAAGTTGAATTTCTCTCCCTTCCACGAACCAGAGTTCAGACAGTTGTTCTCCTCAGTTCACACAAAAAGATCACTCATATTCAGCTTTCTCTGTCAGCTTTGCATTACAGAAAAAACTTTTATTTGAAAGTTATTTTGCGCAGATGATCTGGCTAATGAGTCACAGGTGCAGAAATACACACACACGACTCTTTTCAACAAAGTCTGTCATACTGAAACACAAGCGCTAACACAGTGATTAAAAAAGTAATTTGTAACCTTTAGAAAGGCTTTTCAAAGGAATTCCTTGTTCGCATTCTGTACAGTTCATGTCTGATACCACGCGCTAGCGTCACGCGTTCATGAGGATTAGGTTAATCATCCCATATAGAAAACAAATCACAAGTAAAATTAATCAATGTTTATCAAGATAAACATGGGTTTATTATAGCCCACATTTACATTTCAGTGTTAAATCAAATAAAAATTAGTGTCAGATTGGTCGAGACGCTACAGATCATTACAAATAAATTAAATGCTAAAACTGAATAAATTTAAAATGAACAAACTTGGCATTGCATTTGCAACCATGTGAAAAGTAGGGGTGCTGAGGGGGCTGCAGCACCCCTACTTCCCACGTCCCTGCCTCATGTCATTCCAAATTTCTTCGGAACACAAATTAAGATATTTGATGAAAACCGAGAGCTTTCTGACCCTGCATTGACAGTAGATCTGCACAATTAACCGTTAAAAGATCACAATCTTGATTCAGACACCCATGCGATCTACTTTCTAAATGACAACGATTCACCCGTGTCTATTAAACCTTTAAAAAAGTATTACTGGAACATTCAAATCTGTGTTTGCGCTGCCGCTGACACAGAGAGGGCAGTTACAATGTTTAGGTAAGAAACAGCTTCACAAACAGTCTATTCAACCACACAGTATAATTTCTGTCTTACAGTCATTCATATTATTAAGTCACATGGACTATTTTAACAATGCCCTTACTACCTTTCTGGGCCTTGAACGTGTCAGTTGTGTTGCTGTCTATGCAGCATCAGGAAGCTCTCAGACTTCATCAAAAATATCATAAAAATCAATATACAAATATTTTGTTTTTTTTCCAAAGATGAGTGAAGGTTTGAGGGCGAGTAATTAATGACGGAATTTTCATTTTTGGGTGAACTATCCCTTTAATTTTTTTGGCTTTCTTTTCCTTCATTAAATAACCAATATGACAGCAGTATTTCACTTTATACTATAAATAAAATATTTGAAGAAAAATAGATCAGCATATTATTAGCAATACAATATATATGGTAAATTAAAGTAAAAATGTATTATGATTTTACTTTCTATTATTACATATTGTTTAAATTATATAGAATATATATATATATATACACACATACACACACACACACACACTCATTTTTAAATAAATATTCTTACACTCTGTAACGAAGGAGGCGTAGTGGCAACCGAGTTGAGGATCCAAATGCAGGCTTTATTCGTAAACGTGGTCAGACAGGCAGGGTCCAGTACCAGCAAACAATAATATCCCAGGCAAAGACAAAGAGTAATCCGTAAACAGGCAATGGTCAGGGCAGGCAGCAAAACAATCATAAAAACCAGATAAACAGTCCAAGATCCAAAATACACAAAGGCAAGGCAAAACAAAACAAGGAAACACGGGCAGGATAACAGAAACTAGGAATCATTACAGGCTAAACAATCACCAGCAAAGGGTTCAAGTGTGTGTGCATCTTTTAAAGTCCTTCTAATATGAGACAGCTGTGAACTGATGATGAGATCTAATGAGTGACAGGTGATGCAATAGATGATGAGTCCGGCAAAGGATTATGGGGAATGTAGTCCAGGGTGAATGGCAAAAGTCAGGGATGGAGTGCCCACTGGTGGAGCTCAAGGGCACTCCAGTTGGTGATCGGGACACACACACACACATATACATACATACACACATACATATATATATATACATTATATATATATATATATATATAATCACCGTTATCGCAAAGAATAATGATCAACCAATTATGTAATAATCATAAGATGCTTAATATTACCTGTACTATTGCCCAACTGTAAAAAAAGGATGATTATTCAACATATTGCCTGTGTTTGCCATTTGCCATGCTTGCCCATCCATTTTAAATGGTGAATAACTGAGGTAAAAGCATGCAAGACCTCTGAGCTTGAGCTGGTGTTTGAATGTAGAGTGTTGGGCCCAGCTGGGACTTCTGTGTGCATATTCATGGCAGTGTTAGGAATAATTACCGATGGGAACCACTCATTTGGGTTCCTCTGGGAGTTTAAAGTGCTCATTAAAACTTGAGGAACAACAGGGTGATGGGTGCCGTCAAGTGGCCTCTAAAATGCTGCTCTTAATCACACAGAGAGAAAGCGAGAGAGATGGGGAGAGAGCGAACAGACGGACAGACGAAAGGAAAAACAGGCAGAATCTCTTCCTGATGATTCCCAGATAAACACAAACGACCAAACCGCTCGACCGATTACTGGTTTGACAGCTAACAGCCAAGTCACAGATGTACAGTCACAACCTGTCAGGTGAATAAGCAAAACTACTCGCCAAGTAACGATCGAAAAACCTGATGGTTATGGAAGAAGCTGACAAAAGAGGTAGAATTAATATTCCACAAAGCTGCAGAAAGGAAAGAAAAAAAAACAATCGAGCTTTGAAATTGGTTATTTCAAGGCCTTAAGCCTTGAGTTAGCTCTGATGGGCCACACACTGAGATCCACAAGGCTTTTTTCAGACGTCTATCAGCGCAGCTGGATGTACGAAAGGGAAAATATGACCCCCATGGAGCAGACGGAACAACTTAATCACCCCCTGAACAAATCTTTCAGCAGGCCGTCGCTTACTCAGTCCGGTGGTCAAACGGATTGAGCTCTGAAAGAATCAGTGCTTAGCTCTGCCCTGCTGGAGTCGCCGAAGAGAGGGAGGGAATGCAGGAAACGCCACAGCCTGCCATTGTGGATATAATAACAAGCTTTCTCCCATTCTGTAATAACAATGATTCAAGGCGACCAGGAGCGGCCACAAAGTGCTGCGCGCTGCACCTCCGGTCAGTTTTAAAAGGCTACACTTGACCACTCGTCCTCTTGAAAGCACGTTTTGGTGAATCGCTGTACTCTTTGAGGGGGACGCGTCGGAGGGTGAGCATGGCGAGCTCGAGAGAGATTGCTAGAGGAGCGAGGGCGCTCACGCACATCTCATCTTCTACGCTAACAGCCCCGGGGTGAGCTGACTCATCATGACACAGCACTTTTCGCACGGATAGCTCACTTACACATGGATGAAAACACACAGCAGCAAATACCTCTCATTTCTGCCCCTGGCATCGCTGCACGACCATAAAAGAGTCACAGAGGGTCTTTCACAGGCTCTCTTGCGTACACCCAGAGGCATCAAAACCCAAACTCAAAAGCACAGTTTAGCTTTGGAGTGGAACAAGGTAAAAAGGGACTCCAGAGAAACAGGAAGTGCTGATGGTTTAATATCTGCAGTGTGAGATATTAAGCTAAGCGGTAAAAGTTGCCATTTTTGTAAAGTATTGGGTGTTTATTTTACTTCAGGGTACTTTGTTAAGACTACCATATTTCAACTTTTTGTTACTCTGCTTTGAAAGCTTTTTAGTATGCTTTGCTAATTATTCGCATTGTTGGTAAGATTTCTAATTGTTTTGAGGCTCTTATGCTTACTAACACCGTGTTTACACCGGACGCGACAATTGTCGTGTCGTGCCACAACAGCTAAAGTCTGTCTACACTGTATGCGACCAGGGGAGGACTGGCCATCTGGACGTTCTGGAGAAGTCCAGATGAACAGCCGTCAGCCTGGCGGGTTCATCATCAAAGAAAAAGTGTCAGATTAAGTGACGTTGACGGCCGACAAAAGGGGGCGCTAATGCAATCTATTTTTGCTTATAAGAAACCAAAACTGACACGAAGGAGAGTGGGCTTGTGATGGCAAGCAAAAGACGTGAAGATAAAGGTGGTTGGGAGAAACTAAAAGGAAAAAAGCAAACAGTTGCATCAGGTTACCTTTACCCGCCTCTCTCACTATACACAGCATGTAACCTATAGCACTATAGTAAAATCCCAGGTCAGAGCATCCACTGCTATATGGGAGAAAATCCACATTTTTTACTCCCAGTCCATCCCGGGACGTGACAAAGCAACCATTACAAATCATTTGAACTTTGTGTCAGCACGTCAAAAATAGAACGAAGCAGCAGTTTACTGTCGAAAATTTGTTTTGTCGTGTCGCGCGGCATCCAGTATAGACAGCATCACTGATTATAATGGGTTCTATAGCCTAGTATTTTGCTAAAGTATTGTGTCCGGTGTAGACACTACACAGTGCAAGGCTGCATTTATTTGACCAAAAGTACGGTAAAAAAAATAATATTGGGAAATATCTTACGATTTAAAATAACTGTTTTCTATTTTAATATATTTTATGTCAATTATTCCTGTGATGGTAAAGCAGAATTTTCAACAGTCATTACTCCAATCTTTAGTGTCACATGATCCTTCAGAAATCAGTCTAATATGCTGATTTGATGTTCAAAAAACATTTCTCCTTGTTATTAATGTTGAAAACAGTTGTCCTGCTTATTTTTGTGGAAACCATGATACATTTTTTTCCAGGATTATTTAGTGAATAGAAATAACCGTAAACTATTTCATTTTGTTTTACACAAATTACAACTGATAGCCAAAGTTAAAGAAGCACACTATTATGAATGAGAAAGCCAGAGACAGAGAGGGCGAGAAACTTCTTGCTGAACTTCTGCTGACACAAACCACATCTTAACCGTTAATTTAACCAATTAAAGAAGAAGGATGAGGACACTAGTCCTGTTTTTGTCTCCTGGATTTGCCATCAGGGA